GTGTCTGAATTTATTCCAGATTTTCAGTTGTTTTGCTTTCAAAGATAAGACACACAAATGTTGAGATGAATCAGTCTGAAAACTGCCAAATCTTTCCCAGGACATGGCCACTGAATCCTGGCCAAGGTGTGGAAAGAGCTGATGGCAAAATGCAGAATGAATCACTCAAGAAGAGATTTTTCATGGCTCCTAATGCTTTTATGGCCAAACACAGTTGTTCTCCTTGTATCTGGGCATGTATTTGATCACCAGCATCGTGTGGTTATCTGATCCTTCAGCTAAATGAGTAAATCTTGGTGTTTTCTTCTTACCCTTAGCTGTACAATGCGGGTTGGAAGAGGGATCCATCCTGAAGGAATGCCTGGCTGGTGCCAGGGCTTCTCCCTGGATGGTGGCAGTGGTGTCAGAGCCCTTAAGGTGATCCAGCATGGAAACAGGCCAGGCCTCATCTATAACATTGGTAGGTGGTGACAGAAACTTGGTGAGACATGATATCAGTGCCACCAGAAACAGAACAATCACAGCAGGAGCAACATGTGTTGGTAAAGATTTTTGAGGGTCCAGAGAATATTATTAAACAAAAAAAAAGAATATTCTGAGTAGTTTTACACCTTTATTTTGAATTTTATTTGCTTAAAGTCAGTCTTAATTTTACATTTCACCACTGAGTGTTGTTAATAACTGTATTTTCAAACTGTTCTGCCTGTCTTTGAGTCTTTAATCCCCCTGTATGTTCATTCCAAGTGCATTTGAAATCCCATGGCATTACTGTCTGTTTTCTGTGTGCTGTCACTTCTCAGCCATGTGCTGCTTCTGTGGGTTCTCCTCTGTGGTGCCTGTACAGGCTGGTGTGCAGGAGAGCAGCTTCTGACTTTCTCATGCTCCTACTGCATCAAGTACAGTTTCCCTGGCAAGTTGTAGTTTTTAATTAAATGAGAGTTCAGAAGTTACTTCACAGTGATTTTCCTATGTTGAAAAGTGGAATACTTACTTGAGTTGATTTACTTGTGATTAGAAATAGTTTCGGGGGGCTGGTTATGATCTCTGAACTGTCCTTGAGAAACAGAGAGTAAGAGATGGCATAAAATTACATCTACTGCTTAAAATAATGTTTCCAGACATGGCAGTGGTGGGGCAGAAACTGCATCTCGGGAACCCAAGGAAGCACTGGTGTTGTGTGAAATACATCGTGTCAAATGTCTCTTGTTTCCTTTTGTAAGTAATAGCTTTATTTTCTCTTGTTTTCATTCCTAGGTATTGATGTGAAGAAAGGCAGAGGGCGATACATTGACACCTGCATGGTCACCTTTGCTCCTCGGTACCTGCTGGACAACAAGTCAAGCTACAAATTGGCCTTTGTTCAGAGGGAATTCGCCAGAGGTCGGGTAAGAATCCTTCCTGGTTGTTAGTGCAATCCTCTAGTTAGTCACAGCATCTCACCAAAAAATCAAACATTGCTCTTGAAAGGACTCGTGGCTGGTTATGAGGATCCTTCTCATTATTCCAATCCAGAATAGTAGTGTTTGTATTTGAGAGGTCTGTGAGTTAACACTGTGTTTTGCAGGACCTACAGGATATGTATTTACCAGTTTCTGTTCCTAGGGAGCATCCAATCCTGATGGCTATATCTCCACCCTGCCTGGCTCCAGCGTCGGGTTCCACTGGCCACGGAACGATTATGATCAGCTGTTGTGTGTGAGGCTGATGGATGTCCCAAACTGCATCTGGTCTGGGGGCTTTGAGGTCAACAAAAATAACTCATTCCACATTAATATGAGGTAGTGATTCCATATAAATCATCTGTGGCTTCTGTTTTTTGATAGAAGCAGCTGCTTAACATGTAGCACTGCAGGTAATGCAGACCAGAAGCTTATGGGTCTTGTACTTTGCTCTTTTTCAGGGACACCCTGGGAAAATGTTACTTCTTAAGAGTAGAAATTACCCTCCAAGGAGCCACTTACCGCATTGCCTTCAGCGACACCGACCAGCTGCCGCCGCCTTTCCGCATCGACAACTTCTCCAAGGTAAAGGAACATGAACATCCCTTGGGCTGGGCACTGGGGAGGGCACACCTCAGTGCTGTGCTCAGCTTTGGGCACTCACTGCCCAAAGGCCGTTGAGGCACTGGGACAAGTCCAGCCAAGGGCAACCAGGGCAGCAAAGGGCTAGAGCACATGGGCAAGGGCTGAGGGTGTTGGGTTTGTTCAGCCTGGAGAAGAGGCTCAGGGGTGAGCTCATGGCTCTCTGCAACTCCCTGACAGGGTTGGAGAGAGGTGGAGGATGTCTGTCCTGCCATGGCTGCAGGGAGAGGACTAAAGGGAATGGCATTGAGCTAAGACAGGGCAGAGTCAGAGGAGATGTTAGGAAAAATTTCTTCACTGTCAGGGTGTTCAGACACTGGAATAAATTGCCCAGGGAGGTGGTGGTGTCACCATCCCTGGAGGTGTTTAAGAGGTGTCTGGATCTGGCACTGGAGGGGAGGATATGGGGGTTAAAGGAGTGGCAGATTAATTGTTGGACTCAATGGTCTTAGAGGTCTCTTCCAACCATGATGATTCTATGAACAAACCTCCATATTTTTCCTTTACTTTTTAGTACAAAAGGGTAGGAGCTCTTTTCTGTTTGTGAGAAGAGGGAACTGACTCATTTGTGTAATGAAATGCAATGGAAGTGTGTGTAGCAAGAGGCATTTATCTGGAGTGGCAGATTAATTGTTGGACTCAATGGTCTTAGAGGTCTCTTCCAACCATGATGATTCTATGAACAAACCTCCATATTTTTCCTTTACTTTTTAGTACAAAAGGGTAGGAGCTCTTTTCTGTTTGTGAGAAGAGGGAACTGACTCATTTGTGTAATGAAATGCAATGGAAGTGTGTGTAGCAAGAGGCATTTATCTGTAATAATTGTAATTTTCTGAAGTTCTAGTAAAAATTGGTAGTACACAACTACTTCATCTTGTTCAAATAATAGTGGTAACATTGTGGCTTTCATGAGTGCTCTGAAGGTCTAACAAGGGGGAGCAACATTACCAGTGAGAGGAGTGATGGTTTGTAGTCTGTTTCAGTGTTGTAACCTTATGAGGAGATTTGAGATGCTGCCATGGGACTGAAGGCATTTTGAACCATGAGTGAGAGATAAAAGCAAAGATGACATTTCTCATCCCTTTAAGACTATCCTTGAGACCTGAGTGGAACAATGTGCATGTGACACCATTAGGGGGGAAACTAAAGAAGTGATCTGAACATGGTTCAGTGATCAACTCCTGGAAAACAAATGCTAGCAAAATACCTGATGAACAAACTGCTCTTTCCCCACTGTTGCAGGTCCCAATTGTGTTTAACCAGCACGGGGTTGTGGAGCCCAGGCTGTACACTGAGGTGAAGCCCCTGACCTCTCTGGATTATGCATGGGATGAACCTGTTCTGCCACCTTTCATCATGCTGACAGTGAAAGGCGCAGGCTCCTCAGAAGTTGTCTGCAGCATGAATGATTTCCAAGACAGCAAACAGCTTTACTATGAAAACTTCATCTATATTGCTGCTACTTACACTTTCTCAGGGTAATTCTTCCTTTCTTAGGTGGAAATATTTTGAATGTTTGCATTAATACTCTTTTAATAATTGCTGTTCAGAAGTTTTTCAAACACAGCTGAGCTGTTGTGGTCAGCAGAAGAAATGCCACGTTCAGAAGTTGTCTGGCAGTCAGTAATCTCTGTATTTTACCTCATTTGGTCATAGCACCTTTGCTTTAGAGGTGCAGCTTGACATTGTTTATTCTGGCACACAATGAGAAAGATTGAGCTTGTGGCACCTGCTGTGACCCCACTGTCTGATCTGGGAAGAACAGGGATATTTGGGGTCCTCTCTGGGGGTTCCATTTCATTTGGTGTAAAGAAAATTTACCACAGGACACATCTATTTCCAACATGCCTGTGGAGTTGAAACTTGCACTAGTTCATATGCTACTGAAAACAGCTATGGGAGATTGCCACAGACTTTGCTACTCTCCATGGTATAAAGTAGAAGATTGTCTTTGGGATTCATCTGCTTTGCCTGTGAAGTTCCTAGTTGCAGTGAGAAATCAAGCCTCATTTAAGAATGTATCAAATTGACAGCTTGCACTGGTAATACCTAACAAGGGGGGAAAACCAATATAAATTTATGTCTGGTGGGCTATATTGGGAGTGTAAACTTCCTTGATTCAGTTTTGGTATAGATCTAACTCAGGCTGCAGTACAAGCCTTACTCTGAATAAACATGATGATGTTTTCTTGGTGTTCTAGTTCACAGGAGTCAAGTGTGAGACCAGTTGCTTCAAATAAGGATGTTGCAAATGCAGAACTTGTCCTTGATGTTTCTTCAAAGACTCAGAGAGTTATGCTGAAAAAGAAGGTACCAAGACACATTTGATTTTTAAAATGCTGTTGCTATGTGCTGAAGGAAAATCAAATGCTGAGGGCAGGAAAACATTAGAAGTCTAAGTTTTAAAGGGTGCAGTCAGGCTCCATTGGTTACTTCAACTGGTTATTTGATGGGTTATTTGAATTGTGCTGGTACTTCTGTATAAGGTTTTTATGGGAGTGAAGGTGACATGAAAGGGAACTGGAAGAAAAGCAGTGAGGAACGTTGTAAATGCCTCCAGGACAGCAGAGTGTGGTAATTATGTGTTGGATGCTCCAGTGAAGTTCCAAGCTTCCTTTTGGGTTGCACTGTAAGCTAAGGCTTCTCTTTCTGGAGCCCTTAAGAAATAGAAACTGTGTTTAAATATTGCTGAGGTCAAAAAACAGCTTGTGAATACTGCTCTGCATCTAACTGCTGACATGGGATGCATATTCATAGAGTATCAGAGCTCCCCTAGAAGTCTTCAGCCAAACTAGTTCCTGATTCTAATTCAGGGCCCTACAGTTAAATATACACAAGTTATTCCAAGGATTGCAATCCAAAGCCTCTGGTAGCAAAGCAGAACAAAAATATTTGCTATTTACTGTACTGAAATGTTGAGTTTTTATGCACCAGGAGCCAGGAAAGCGATCCCAGCTCTGGAGAATGACAGACACAGGAATGCTTTGCCATGAAGGGTCTTCAGTTCCTCACAACCCTCATAAACCTTCTCCTCGCTCTGGGGACTCCTGTATGATTTTGGACATCGCAGGCCTGGCAGCTGTCACAGACAACAGGTACTGCAAGTACAGCTCCTCATAACCATGACTTTGGAAGGGTAGTTAATGTGATGTTCTCTGTGTAAGGAAAGGAATTGTTCTGAAGTGAGTTGGAAGCACCTCTAAAAGCTTGTCCAAGGTGTTTTCAGCAGGTGACTGTTAGCAGAGCACGTCAGAAGTGAGATCAGCAAAATGAGCTTGAGCAAAAGACGAATAAATGTTGCCCATGAACACATCTGCAGGGTAAAACTGAGGTGCAAATCAATCCCCTGAGCACTGGTCGATGCTTCCCCTGCAGGTATGAGCCCTTGATGCTGAGGAAACCTGATCGGCGGCGCAGCACCACCCAGACATGGAGCTTCCGGGATGGAAAGCTGACCTGTGGCATTCATGGGCTTGTTGTCCAGGTCAGTGCTGATTCTGTGTTCACCTTGTTGACCTTGAAAGAGATGACAGTCATCTGGGCTTAGCATTGAAGTGAACTAAAAGCCTTCAGGCCAGGGTTAGAACACAGAGCATATTTGTGTCTACAGCTTGTGTTAGATTCATAGGTGAACGTTCTTATCAGTTGCAAATAATTCACTGTTAACTAGAAAAATACTTGGCTTAGTACCATGATATTGCAGCTTAGCAAGTTACTTGTTGCAGCAACCAAAAAAAGCCTTTTCTTGCTGTTTTCAGATGTTGATTCAGTAAGGATTTAGTTTCTCATCTGCAGTTCCACAGTTCGTCTTTTTAAAATACTTTCTATCATTTTGGAAGACTTTTCAGGAAGGACTTTGCCATGTTTGTGGATGAATTGACAGCTTCAGTTTTAAATGTGCAGTGAGAATATTTAATTACTGGTCTTGGCTGTTTCTTTTAGCTGCCAAACTGATTAAACATGAATTACCAGAAGCTCTAGCAATATCAAAGCACCTGGACTGCTTTTCTTTTAGTTCTGAAGAGTAGGGAGAGGAGAGTAAAATACACTTCTAAATTAATGTGTGTAAATAGTTATCTGAAGTTTTTACCTATCACTTAATTATTTTGTTCCCCTTGCCTTTTTTCCTCTCTCCAGGCAAAGGGAGGAGTAGCTGGTCTTCATGATGGAGCAGAAGTTGTTCTAGGTCCTGATACTTCACTTGAACTTTTGGGGCCAGTTCCACCTGAACAGCAGTTCACAAACCAAAAGATGAGGCCTGGCTCAGGAGTACTGGCTGTGAGAGTCATCCCAGATGGGCCAACTAGGGTTCTGCAGGTGACAGTCCTTCATCAGCTGGAATATAATTCCATAATTTGCTTGCACTTGAAATACTTGGGGGATGTCTCTCCTGCCATGGCTGCAGGGAGAGGAGTAGAGGGAATGACCTTGAGCTGAGACAGGGCAGAGTCAGATTAGATATTAGAAATATTTTTTTCCCTGTTAGGGTGTTTAGGCACTGGGATATTGCCCAGGGAGGTGGTGAAGTCACCATCCCTGGAGGTGTTTAAGAGGTGTCTGGATCTGGCACTGGAGGATCTGGTTTGAGGTTTAAAGGTTTCAGCAGTGGTTGTACTTGATGATCTTAGAGGTCTCTTCCGACCTTGATGGTTCTATGATTCTACTTTGTTTCTCTATTACATCTCTAAATCCTTACAAAAATCTTCCTTTATAAAGCCATGAAGGGGGGAGGGAATATCACAAACCAGAAATAGTTCCTACAAAACTTCTCATTGTAGTTTTTTTTTTTAAAAAAAAAGGTAATTTTCTAAGGCTGGACAGTGGAGCTGTTATTTACCAAAAGGAAAGTGATGATTATAGTAATTTATTTGTTTTCAGATAACTGATTTTAACCAGCGCAGAAATGATCGTTTGTCCAGTGAAGGAGATGAACTTGCAGTTACAGAACAAGATCTGCGCAAGCTAAAAAATCCAGAGACAGAGCAAGAACTGGAAGTAAGATATTCCCAACTAGTACCTTACTCTTTTGTTTGTCATTTTCCTTCCTAGATCTTGGCTCTGTGTGTGTGTGATGGTGTTGGTTTTTAACTTTCCCCCATGATGATCTCTTGTTCTGAACTTGTAGATTTTCCTGCTAGAACTCCTCAGAATTTAGGTTAATACCTCCTAACACCTCTTTGTTCTAAGTCTAATTGTCCATGACCTATTTAGTCTCTCTGGAGATGATCCTAAAAAACTTAACTTTGCAGTATGTATTTGGTATCAGAGGTTTTTTCAGTGTTGGTTTGTCAGTGGTTTTATTTCACTTTTCTCAGGTGCTTGTGAAACTGGAAGGTGGAATAGGATTGTCTTTGGTCAACAAAGTCCCTGAAGAGCTTGTGTTTGCAAGCCTCACAAGGATTAATGTCCACTACACACAGCTGGCAACAAGTCAGGTGCTAGAGCTCAGTGTGCAAGACATACAGGTATTTGCCATTTTGACACAGATTTATTTCTTCGTGTGCCTCCTGCAGTTTTTGGTGTCACAATAGGTTTGAAAAATGTTTGAAGCTGTTAATGAGGTATCAGTTCCTAAACAGCACTGCAGTGTTGATTCTGTTGTCTGTCCTGTGCACTGTGCAGGTGGACAACCAACTCATTGGCACCACACGACCTTTTATGCTCTTCCTGACACCCAGGATCAGTGAGAATGAGCCCGTGGAGACTGGCCCTGCTGTGCAAGTCAATGCCATGAAATTTCCCAGTAAAAATGCACTGACTGATATATACAAGGTAAACACAATGTTTTGTTTGTGCCCTGCAGGTATCACTTTGTTTAAGTGACCTTTCCTCTTCCTAGTTTTTGCTTAGTTCAGTGACTTGTGAGTTACAATTGGTTGAATTATTATTGAAGCTTAAAGGACACTATATCCACCTTCTTGTGTTCAGGGTGTGTAAAGCTACAGTGATGAACTGGATAATAAATATGTTTAAAAAGGCATCAAATTAGGCCAGACCCTGTTTGTTCATGTGTGACCTTACTTTGCAGGGCAGTTATTCTGCCCTGAGAATTGTAGCTTAGGGAACCAGAATATCTATGCTTTGCTCCTCAGAATTGTGTTCAGGGTTGTAAATTCTCTCTGATAAGGTGTTATCTTGCCTCTTCTGTGTACTGCAGCTCTTTGGGAGCATTGGTTGGGAATTTATCCACCAGCTGTGGGTGGCGCTGAGAGGGCAAAACTGAGTTGGTTCTTCTCTCACTTGGAATCTTCACCCTTGTATTTTGACTCTGTTTTGAAAAGCAGCTGATTTCAGTGTTGGAAAACAGCTAAGCAGGAGACTTCGAAGTGTTAGGATTAGGTAATGAAGCACAATACCTGCCAGAAAATTGAACTCGTCATCACTAGTTGTAGGTAACTTGAAGTGAAGAAAGCTCCCAAAGACATTTTGAAGGTGGGAATCTTGCTACCAGTCCATTCAAGGGAAAATACTCCATTGAAGTGGAGCACATTGTCCTGTTTAATAGCTTAGATGGATTATATTTCTGGTGTTAATACTGTAAACTGAGACTTGTTTGTCTTCGTAGCATCTGATGATCACTGCCCGAAAGTTCACAGTTCAAATTGAGGAGAAACTACTGCTGAAGCTCTTGAGTTTCTTTGGCTATGACCAATCTGAATCAGGTATGGTCTGGAGTTCCAAACATCACTTGTACAGTGCACAGAAGGATTATGATCTTTGCATATAAAATCAATTCCAGGAAACTCTTTGCTGCTTGGGACCTCCCAGTGTTGCACAGACAGCTGGAAATACCTCAGTGGTCCCTGTGAAGTTGTTCATGTATGTTAGGCTTGTGACAACCTTCAGGTAATGGCTCAGTACACAATGACTGAGCTGAGCCTCTCTGGGAAGGAGTTCAGTACTCATCTTCAGTTCTTGTGTCTGGATTCATCTAAATTGGGATGAAAGAAATTGTGTTATTAATTTAGCAAACCACTTTGTTTAGTAATGTTTATTTAACCTAAGGCTAGAAACAGGATCTCTCTTCGTGTGTTCCTTGGGCACTTCTTGTTGCTTAACTGGAGGAAAATTGTCTGTCTGACCTTTCAGCCGTGGCATCCATAGCCCTGGCTTTAATTGCAATAGGAGTTTTCTTTGATTCAGTGAGGCAAGACAGACCTCTTGAATCTTCTAATCTCCTAGATGTTGTCCTAATCCTCTTATTGTAGGGTTTGTCTGTGCTTTGGAAACTTTCTGAAATGTTTGTTTTGGAGTGGCAATTGAAAAAGTCACTTTGATTAGGCAGTAGCATGTGCACTGTTATGTAAGAACTGTCACAGGGAAAGAACTATTTGTGGCACAATTCCAAATGGGGCCAAGCCTACAAATGATGCTCCACAGTTCTGTCCTGCTAATCCACAGGATCTTCTGAATTGTCTCTGAAAAAACAACAGCATTACCTTTTACAGAGGACTTAGAGACTTAGATCTCCAGTGATGAGGAAGGAGTAAAAATGTTGAGTTCTGCTCTTAGGCTTTTTACTGCTCTGTCCTTTGTTTTGGTTTGCCCTGATGATTTTGCTATTCTTTTGGTTTCCTTACTATCCATTGTTTGTAGTTTATCCACTGATTCTGCTAATGTCATCCAAGATTCAGACAGAAGTTACTGTATCATTTACAGTCAGAATGTTTAGTTGGTCAACCTGAGTCTGTAAGACTTGTCATCTTTGGTCTTTTCCTCTGCCTTGTCACAGCACCAAGATGCTCTTAGAAATGACATGAACCTGTTAGTGTCAAATTTGACTCACTCTAAATAAATTAACTTATGGAGTGTCTTCTATGTTGGCATTTTGTCCATTCTGCAGTGATAATTGGAAATTTCACTTGCTTTGTACATTGTGTTCATAGTTGAGTGTGTAAGGAATTAGAGAGAGGGAAACAGACTGTAAGAGCAGAACTGCACAGTAGGAAACACTGCTTAGCTGTGTGTTATCTCCTTGTTTCTGTATGCTGATAAAGATAAATTAGAAGTGAGATTAAAAGCTCAAATAACAGGTTTTAGAGATGCAGATCTGACAAAAAATTCTTGAGCCTCAAAGGTCAGCTTCATGTCACAAGGAATGAGTAATTTTGCTGGCTACACTGGCAGTCACACATACTTCTTGTACAGAGGAGCTGTTAACTCCTTACAGAGCATGCATTCCTAACTCCAGATTTATTTGTCTTTAATCTGCTCTGATTCCTGTGTTTTGTCTGGATGCAGAGGTGGAGAAGTATGATGAAAACCTCCACGACAAGGCTGTGGAACAAGGTGGAGGACAGAAGAGATACTACTTTGAAAATCTGAAAATCAGTGTGCCTCAAATCAAGCTGAGTGTCCTCACTTCCAACAAGCTCCCTTTGGATCTCAAGGTACCCCAGTGCATTCCCAGATTAAAGAGCAGGAAAAAAGAACAGAAGCTTTAGCTTAATACTATTAATTTCCATTTGTTCTTCCATTATTTATATTACAAATAATAGAAGTTCCAGTAACTTCTGTTACTCAATTTACATAATTTCCAGTCCCTTCTGGAATATTCTTTCACTTCTGTAATTTCAGTGGAAGCACAGCCAACTGCACCTAAGGACTCCCTGCTGCACAAAGAGTCCTGTTACAGTATTGGAAGTGTAAAGAGCTTAAAGGGAATAACTCTGAGAAAAGAAGAATTTACCCAACTTAGGGAGCAGAAATAAAGTTCAACTCTGAGTGTTTTCATCCAAACAATGTTGTTTCGTTGGAGCTGGAGAATTTGCATGTGCACTGTGCAATTTGATTGTGAATTCAGACTGAGTATGGATTTAGGTGGGAAATCTGGTCCTTTTCATGTGGCAGTAAATCTGGTGCAGTTTGAGTGCACCAGGGATTCCAGGCTGTAGCAAGAAGCTAATCTCACCTAGTGTTCACAAATTGCCTGTTGGGACCTTCTTGGACATAATAAAGTGGCAACAGTCAGTTGCCACCTCAGTGATCATGAATTCATTGAATATTTCAATCAGAAATACTTCAGTTCCCTCTGAGCTAATACAAGTGCTTTCCTCCATGATGTGAGAGCTGAAACCAAACCAAACCATACAAACCCCTCCTGACTGTGGAGGAATTGAGCTGCTGCATATTCAAAAACCATGACTGAGACACTGACTGGGCTTTTTTGTCCTTGATAGTAAAGACATGGGGTGTGGAAGCTTTTAAAGAAGTTTAGTTTTGTGTAGTGAATGTTCATCATGGAATCTTACAAAGGTGACCCAGACCATCATCAGTCCTGTGGTTTTGTGTTGATTTTACCAAATGCTTGTGCAGAGGACAGTTCAATAGCTAACTGCAATATTCCTTAGCTGTAATATTCCCTAGATGTAATTTTCCTTAGCACTCAGCAAACAGTGCCCTGAAGTGTGTTTGTACTTGAGCTTCAACAGAAAATCACTGATCCTTCGCTTAGCTCAGGTCACCTCCTCACTCAGGACTGTGGTCAGCAGGACAAAAGAAGTGATTCTTCCCCTCTGCTGTGGTGAGACCCACCTGGAACACTGCACACAGTTCTGGTGTCCTTGACATAATGACATGGAACTGTTGGATCAAGTCCAGAGGAGGTCACGAAGTTGATCAGAGCACTGGAGCATCTCCCCACTGAGGACAGGCTGAGGGAGTTGGGGCTGTTCAGCCTGGAGAAGAGAAGGTTGTGTGGAGACCTCAGAGCAACCTGCAGGAGCTGAAGGGGCTACAAGGAGCCAGAGAGGGACTCTGTGTTAGGAACTGCAGTGACAAGACAAGGGGAAATTGGCTCAAACTGAAGGAGGGGAAGTCTAGGTTGGATGTGAGAAAAAAGTTTTTTTCTGTGAGGGTGGTGAGACACTGTCCCAGGTTGCCCAAGGATGTGGTGGCTGCCCCAGCCCTGGTGGTGTTCAAGGCCAGGCTGGATGAGGCTTGAGCAACCTGATGTAGTGAGGAGCTGTCCCTGCCTAGGGCAGGGGTTGGGAGTGGATGGTCTGTAAGGTCCATTCCAGCCCTTAAATTCTGTGATTCAGAGAGAGAATGTACAGTGCTCATGGTGAGTGCCTTTAAGAACCCAGCACTGTGCACTGCTGTGTTTGGATTTCCTACCACCCTTGGTATAGGATTGCATATGGATATGTCTTGGCAGCCTCCAGCAACATTCCCAGGAGAAAACTTGGCGTATACATTTTTCCCCACTAATGATAACAGTCCCTGACTGTATTCTGTATATTGACATTCACAGAAAGAGCTCCATTCAGGTCTGTAGCACAGGAGAGTTCAGGGTAGGAGGGAGAGAGAATAATCACAGTAGAGCCATTGTGGAAGTTTTTCTAACTACCTCTAATGTTTCTGGCTTGGACATTGCTGTCTGGTAATTTGGTGTAGACAGATTATTTTTATTAGGTACCAGTATTAACAAAGTTGCCTTATATAATATCTGATAGTTAAACAGGAAATTACTTCCTACCCAAGTGAATAATGAGGACTACTCTGGTTAGTCATCCATTTACTGAAAAAATAAATAGCTCCTTTCTTACTTGCAAACTAAACTCAGACCTGTAAGTTGCCTTAATTGCCTGCAGATGGCACAAAACTCGTGTTACTTGCACCAAACAGACTTTGGTGATTAATGTGTAAAGACAGAACACAAGTATTGAGCTTCTTGCCTTCTTCAGGTTGTCTGATGTTGGTGGCTGTGCAGATGTATTATTAAGACTTGAAATGGATCTGATCTCTTGCTTTCTTAAAAGATTAGTTTTCATGGTATTTTTCTCCAATATGGTTATATTTCTGTGTGTGTATGTACAGATGTGTAGAGGTCAGATACTAGGAAGAGGGTTTTTTTTATTGAGAGAGTGCTCAGGCATTGGAATGTGCTGCCCAGGGAGGTGGTGGCTTCACCATCCCTGGAGGTTTTCAAGCTGAGACTGGATGTGGCACTTAGTGCCATGGTCTAGTGACCACAGTAGGGTTGGACTTGATGATCTTTTAGTCTTTCCCAATCCAGTTGATTCTATGATTCTATGTCTGTAGAGTGTATAAGCTTTACAGTGGTAGTGTTAGGTGAACAGTTGGACTTGATGATCTTAAAGGTCTCTTCCAGCCTTGATGATTCTACAGATTACAGATGGCCTATGAGCTAATTGCAGCCTTAATTTCCTTCCTTGAAAATCAAGGAAAAAATAATTTCAAGTATTTCACTACACCACATAGTGTTAAGGAAGGAGCCTCAGGCTTAGAGGAAATTCTGTGTGTTATTCCAGCTCATCCTGACACTTAATCCCTTCACAGAACTTCAGCAGGGTGGAAAATACTCAGTTTTGTCAAGGAAATTCATTGAAGGTTTGGTTTAATTGACCGTTAGAGCAGTTACAGCGAAGTTCTATGTATGGAGTATTAGACACATTTTGTTTTGAAATATTCCTGTCAAGTGTAGACAACAGATTGCATTGGGAAGTTCAGGGACTGTGTAGTCAGTGAAGAAATGCAATTCTGATAGCTGATTATTGCTTACATTATTATGGTTTGTGGGTTTTTGCTCTCTCCATCCAAGTGTGGTAAACTCCTTCAGCAGCTTCAGATCATTTTGATTTGTTACCCATTCAAAGATTAATCCATTTGGGTGCTGTGCATGACAAGCAGGGAGAAAAATTAAAGTAGCAATATCTTTTGTTTCCTTAGGCATTGAAGAGCACATTGGGGTTCCCTCTGATCCGGTTTGAGGACGCTGTGATTAACCTGGATCCTTTCACTCGGGTCCATCCGTATGAAACTCAGGAATTCATCATTAATGACATTCTGAAACACTTCCAGGAGGTTAGTGTCATACAGGTTGGATTGTGGCAAAGGCTGAACTTCTCTTGAGTCAGGAGTTCTCCCCTGAGGGTGTGGGAATTCTTTCCTGACTGCTGAGTGTTAGTGCTGTGTTGCTGCTTCGGTGTATGGACTGTTATCCCATGGTTCTAAGAACAATCTCCACTTTAAGATGAAATTATTGTTGATCTTACTGGTATTTGTATCCATTTCTCCAGTAAAACTACCTGGCTTGGTGTAAGCTTCTGTTGTGGGTGGGATTTTTTTCTTTTAATCAACCTTGCTGGTGTTAATCTGATCCATCAGTGATATTTCATTCTTCTTGATTTTGCAGGAGCTGCTTAGCCAGGCAGCAAGGATTCTGGGTTCTGTGGATTTCCTTGGCAACCCCATGGGTCTATTGAATGATGTTTCAGAAGGTTTTTCTGGACTTATAAAGTATGGCAACGTGGGTGGCCTCATCAGGAACGTCACACATGGAGTGTCCAACTCTGCTGCAAAGGTAATAGTTGTGACATTGAAGTTGGCTAAAGCAATCAGCAAAATACAGCCAAGAAAGAAGGCCAATAGAATTATGAACTATGTTTAAATTGCTTTATGTCCTGTTTGTTTTGTAAAAAGTGAGTTTGAAGTGTAGATTTTTTTTGTCCTTAAGTGCTTTTTATATGCATCTCATGGATGGCAGAAACAGGAGCCAATGAACCACTCAGGGCCTCATTATTGCTGTACATGTATTTGCAGGTTGAATCAATGGTCAGCCAGAGTGAAAACTAAAAAGTTGCTCAAGTGTGGCTTCATCTAATATATACAAAGTTGTATGTATTATGTATGTAATCTACACAGAGAACATTGAGAAATGTGGAGTATTTGAGGGTTCATTGGTATAACAGGAGTTACTGAGTGTTATTTCTGGGAAGTGATTAAGCTGATGTGAATGGCAATTATTATGCTAACACTTGAGGTTTGGGTTTTTTTCTATGCCACATGGCAGCAAACTAAGGAATTCATACATTGCTACAGAATTATCTTTAGTTTATTCCAAAGTCTCTGCGTGGTGAACATTCTTTTGTCTTCCTGATAACAACTGAGAGAACTCAATTATATCAGTGAAAAGAGCTCTTCAGTGCCCAAGAGAGGGATGGTCTGAGGCAGCAGCCAGAGGAAGGAAGTGATTTGAATCATGGTCAGAGCAAATATGTGGTCTTGAAATAATTTTATTACATACATGGTGTGTCAACATGAGCCAGCAGTGTGCTCAGGTGGCCAAGAAGGCCAATGACATCCTGGCTGGGGTCAGGAACAGAGTGGTCAGCAGGAGCAGGGAGGTGATTCTGCCCCTGGACTCGGCACTGGTGAGGCCACACCTTGAATCCTGTGCTCAGTTCTGGGCCCCTCAGCTCAGGAGGGACATTGAGGTGCTGGAGCAGGTCCAGAGAAGAGCAACGAGGCTGGTGAAGGGACTGGAGCACAAGTGCCATGAGGAGAGGCTGAGGGAGCTGGGGGTGTTCAGCCTGGAGAAGAGGAGGCTCAGGGGAGACCTCATCACCCTCTGCAACTCTCTGCCAGGAGGTTGGAGTCAGGTGGGGGTTGGTCTCTTCTCCCAGGCAACCAGCAGCAGGACAGGAGGGCACAGACTCAAGCTCTGCCAGGGGAGGGTTAGGTTGGATATTAGGAAGAGATTTTTTACAGAGAGAGTGATGAGGCATTGGAATGTGCTGCCCAGGGAGGTGGTGGATTCACCATCCCTGGAGGTTTTCAAGCTGAGACTGGATGTGGCACTTAGTGCCATGGTCTAGTGACCACAGTAGGGTTGGACTTGATGATCTTGGAGGTCTTTTCCAACCCATTTGATTCTACGATTCTGTGAACATGTGCTGTGAATGAACTTAGCCATCATGGGTAGAACTGCATTGATGCTTTCAGTTGTTGAAGTTTAGTTTTGTGAAAACTTTTTACTTCTGTTATTGTCATGGTTCATCTTTTCACAACCTTTCCCATTTATACAAGGAAATCTTCTTTTTTCCCCCTCATTAATGGGAGAAGTTAATTTAGAAGATCAAAAAGGTAAAAGGTAGAATCTGTATGATTGCAGGCAGCTCAAGACTGACGTTGTCAAACCTTAGCCCATCACCACATGCAGAGCTGTGAGTATATCTGACCCAGAGAACTGAACCATGAGGCAAGATGAGCTGCACCTTCTCTGTCATCATTATCTCATTCCCACCATTAGCCCAGCTGGGACAGTTTCAAGAAAACTGACCAAAATACCACACTGCTATTCCTGTCTTATAATCCTCTATGAGATGCTCCTGTAATGAGCAGCACTGCACATCCAAGCTTAGCCAAGCAGTGTGGTAGAAGACTTGCTGAGCTGCTGGAGGCAGCTGCTTCCATCTGTGCAAAGCAATCCTTGTGTCCATACTTTCTCCTCGTGGTTGTAGTCGCCTGTGACCCATCCACTCCACCCAATAGGGTTTGTTTCTTTAGAGTTTCCTTTCTATAAAGTGTTGTTTCCTCATCACAGTCACATCTGCAGCAACACTCTCATAAATCTTTCTTTAAAAGGCACGAGCCTTCCTCTGTTTCCCACAAGGGCAAGGTCATCCTTTGAACTTTGGAGTCATTTGTAACCAAGGGGTTTGTGAGGAAGATTTTCAAAGGCACAAGGGCAGTTGGATGCTGAACTCCTTTCACAATCCAACAGGAGCTGAGTGCCTGCTTCCCATTTGTACCTTTGAAAATCACCCCAGTACTATTTATCCGTCTTCCCAGGTAGTTTTTTTCTTTCTCCTTGATATATCCAAAGTGTCTCTGCAAGTCTCACACAGTTCCCTTTTAAAAGCTTTTAATGTGGTTTATGTATTTGTCCTTTCAGAACAAGGAGAGAATTATATCCTTTAGAAAGACTTAGTAGTACATTATGGAGCTCCTTGATGACTCCTCCTTGCAAAGGTTGGATCTTAACTCTGCCACAGAGAAGATAATGGTAAAAAAGGCTCAAATTGTCAGGATTAATTCTTCCTTATGTTTTGCACTGCTTTTCGGCATTTAAATCTGCTAGAAAACTAAGCCAGGAATGTCCTTATGATAAAAAATTGGCATTTCAAGTAGTTTGTGATGTGTCATGTATGTGGTACAGCAGAGAACTTTGTCTTTTACTCCTTTTCTGTTCTACCATAAATGTGCCTTATGCCTGTGGCTAGGATATTTAGAGATAAAAAAGTGTGGGGGGAGGAAATAATTTGAATTACTCAAGAAAAATAGGATTGAAACAATAGATCATCTTCATCTTGCTTTGGTGCTCTCTGTAGGGAAGGTATTTTAAAGTGTATTTTCACTGCATAAATTTTCACCTGGTTCAGCTGTGCCACAGAGGTCCTTGTCTGTGGAGCTGCTAACTGAAGCAGCCAAAACTAGAGGAGCCTGTGTTCTGCTTAGGAGCTGAGGGCTGGGAAATCTCTCCCTTTTGGTTGATTTGAGTACCTGACTTATGAAGTGTCTGAAATAAAAGTCTCTCCTAGATTTTAAGATGAGTTCACTATAGAGGTGTGAGTAGATAGATAAACAGGGTAATGCTATAATCATTGCTTTAAAAGTAACACTGCTGGACAGACTGGAGAAGTAAAGCTATTGGAGTTGTATCTGGTTTTGTCATTTTATTGCTTTTCTATTTTATAGTTGTGCTGATTATCCCTGTAATGGCTTTTCCATGCCTTTCAGAGCACGCAGTGGGTAATGCCTTCTTTCAAGTGGAGAACTGCAGTGTATTTAAATTGGCACAAACCCTTAGGTTAAATAAAGTTCACTACAGACAGTTTTGTAGTTTTTATCCCTTGGAGACTCCAAGTTCTGTATTTTAAAAAGTTCTTTGATCCTAAATATAGACACCTGAGGGAATTTCATTCCCTCTGAATGGAGCCTTCTATAGTTGCCATATGCGTAGAAATGTCTCACATTCTTGGCATCTACACTTCTTTTTTATTTCCCCTGTTAGGCATGATAGTACTAAATCCTAAATTATTCCTCTTCCAGAGGTGTTTCAATTAGGAATGGATATTGAACCCTGAACAAAAATGCTCTGTAGCTCATGTTCTCCAAATGGAAAATGAAGCATGGTTGTATCTATTAGTGCAAAGAGCAAATAGGTGCTGAGCTGTCATAGTAAAGGACTGAAAAGATTCATCAGCCTGTCAATACTGTATTTGATTTGTCTGATTTCTTTCAGACCTTAGGAGGAATTGTGTTTTCTTTGGTGAATTATGAGCACATGGTAAGGTAGGAGTTATGACTCTTAGACTAGGCTTAGTTTCTGGATACATATATATATGTAGGAAATATATATGTAATATATATATGGAAATAATTGTTGTGTCCCTCCTTTCCTCCTGGGAAAAAGAATTTAAGGAACTCCTTGAAAAAGCTCAATTTTCATATTGAACTTCGAAGTTTCCAGTGAGAGAGTTAATTAGGCTTCTTAAGGAAAGGTAAACCATCAGCCACAGTTGCATTTCCAGTCTCCCCCAGTATAGTGTGGGGTCTCCTGCAGCTTGTCCAGGTAGCACAGCAGATCATCTTCAGCTTAACTTGCATTTCATTCACAGTCCATGTGCAGGTTTGAGTGCTGAGCAGTGAGAATCTGTATCAAAATGTGCATCTTATGAGATGAAAGTCCCTGAAATTACCAGTTTTTGGAGCAGCATGCAGAGCTCTGGGAGGCAGACAAGCTTCCTGAGGCTTGGGAGAAGGCACCCAAGATGCCAAAACTTCCCTAGAGAGGAGCTGCAACAAATTGCATGTGGGTGTTTGTTTTCTTTTTATGGCTGAGGAAGAGGCATAAATGAACTTCTGCCCTGGACTTTCGTTCCATAGGTTTATTTTAGTTCAGTTCAGAGAGGTGGCAGAGGTGTGTAAGTGCATAACAGAGAGAGGAAAAGAGGTTAGGTGTTGGAATCAGGTCAGAAAAGACTAGTAAGGATGTGGATATTGCTCCAGGTGAGTGTTTGACATGGAGACATTTGTATAAAAGGAGCATAAAAGCAACATGAAGGGAAATAGGAGTTTTAACTCTCTTGGTAAGATAAATCAAAGCAGAATCTCAAGTGGTTGGCAGTGACAGGAAAATAAAGATAACTCAGTGGAAAATGAAGAGGAAGTAATAAAGGGATTATTTAAAAACAAACCATGAGCAAGTGTTTGACTTGTATGGATGTGAAGTGTAGCAGAGCTGGCAGTGAATAAGGTGAGAAGTGGCTGTGCAGAGCACAGAATGTGGGTGCAGTGTGAGCAGGAGGTGCCCAGGAGCAGACAGAGAAGGGCCCAGAGCAGTCAAAGCTGATGGTACCCTTTTGATTAAAGTTTCTTAGTTCAGGTAACCAACCACTCCTATTTGATACATCTAGAATGAAGAACAGCTGGAATTCTCCCATTTGGAGTCACTGTGGTTCAGCTCTAGCAATATTAACTCAAAATGCAATGCAAGTAGCTGAAAAGAAAATCATATCT